AAATATCGTTCAATTCAATATTACTAAAAAAAGAAGAAAAACAACATCAATAATAATAACTTATTATTCAAATTTAATTACTACATACATATATAAATATATAAATCAAGAATTGATTATTTTTCAATTCCATAATATATTTTTTATAAAAACATCAACATCTATAAATATTAAATTCAAAAGAATCCATAAAATATCATTTTTCCGATTGATAAATACATATATATATATATATGTCCGAATTCATCATAATCTATAACATATTAATTGTTTCCCCGACAAACGAACAAAACCAACTCAATAGCTATCTTACCAACGCATCAAGTAAGTTGCAAAGTAGATAATTAAGAACAAAAAATAACAGACTATCAAACACCAACTAACTAATCAACTTACTAGTTCCAGTATCTCACGGACTAGCAAACTGGCAATTCATCAGCAGCCAACACTACATTCCATTTCAAATGCAGGCTTACGAGAGCTACTGTTGTAGTTCATTGCCTTGAAAGTTTTTGGCCTCCATTGCTACGTTATTTTATGCCATATATTATTACTTTACACAGTTGGATCATTTGTGGTGCATTCAATCTAATTCTGAAAGCGAAATTGTTGCACTCTTGGGAGGCCCATTGCACTGAACCTCAGATCAATGTTTCGCAATGGCAAGTGCAAGCCTGGCATTTCACTGCGTAATTGTGTTCTACTTGATATGACTCGTGCTGTCCTACCAGCGATAGTTACCAGCGCCAAATGCAAACAACGTGGGATCAGTTCTTGGGGACTGCCGGCACTTGGTGCCATGTAAGGCTTCCAAGCCTTCGCCGCTGCTTCCATGCCCGGAAGCCAACATTTCCGGAAATCTGGGAGAAACATCGAAACTGCGCGCTCAAGAAGAAAGAGGTGCGGAACAAGTACCAAAACAAACTACCCCCCCCTTTGGCTTGCTGTTGGGAATTTGGCATATTCTTGGTTGACGTTGGAAGGGGAGCAAAAATTCAAATTGTGGGAGTTAAGTGGGGATTTCCCACTAGACCACAATCAGCAAGAATGTAAAATGTTTCCCAACAACCACCATGTATTTGAGCCAGCAAATTCAGCAAATCACCGGGGCCCTGGCCAAAGACATAATCTCGGCATCTTGGCGCTGCGCCTGCCACTCTCTGGATGCCGATGCCAAGTGGAGCGATTGGAATGTTCCCCAGATCTCAGGGATCTTCGGGCTGTCCTAAGTGGTTGACCCACAGCCATGCTGACCCAAGGATTTCAAGTCTGAACAAAAGAATGCGTCCCCCCCTCGATGTTTTGCAGAAACAACACCTTCCAAAATACATGCACCTTGATAATATCAGGAAGGATGATAGGCTTTTGGGTTATTCTCGCAATGGATTTGCAACCTGTGTCCCTTCCCGCCTCCTCTGGGTAGAAGCGCCGCCTAAGTCAGGGTTGCAAAAACCTCCGGCAATACAAACAAACAAAAGGCACCCCAAAAAAGGGTTGGTCTTCAGTTGCCTTCCTTTGCAAAATGTTTGTTTTGGATACCGTTGGTCTTCTTTTGGTTTCCTTTGTAGAATGGTCCCCAAATAGTGTTTACACTACGGGGTTCTCACGGTAAGAGTGAAGGCTGGGTTAGATCGAGGGTTCGCGCTCAAAGTGTTAACTAAAACCATGGCAGATCTCGCAAAAAGTTGCCTTGCGTGTAACAGCTTCGCGTGAAACTGACCTTTCTTCAAGCTGCATCAATTCACAGCGTCGCGCGCAAGAGAAGTTGACAGGGCAGAGCTTGCAGAAGCGTTGCTTGAGCAGAGACGTTGACGTGTTTACATTTTGCTGCTCATCAGACGGGGAAGGTGTCAGAGTTGATTAACCGTGTTTGTATGCTTCCGGGCCACCCGTCGTCAAGGTAAGACACGCTGGGGTCTCTTGCCGGGATAATTGTTTTCTTCTATTTTCTGGATAAGGCGGTTGTTCTTGGGGTTCTCGTTCAACACAACCCAAACAGCGTACCGTTAAAACAAGATACTCCCAAACGCCCACGGCTGACAACTGGAGCCGCCCTTGTGGGGGCTGCGCAGGATGGTATGCTCGCGCTCCAAGAACGTCTTCTGGGCCTACGTCAACGGGCGAACAATTGGACAAGAACCAAGCACCAACTCGGCTGTGAAGCAAGTCTTCGAGGCTCCAGGCTTGTTCCCCAAACTGTGGGTCCAACCAGCTTTGACACACACACACACACACACACGCGCGCTGAATTCTCGATCTATTGATGGGGTTTGGCCGCCTGGATCAGAAACGACCAAAACATGCTGCTCCGTGCTCACGGCAGGTATGCATTTGCCATGGGATCGCTGCAATCGCAAACGCGCGGGTCTGTGTGTGTGCGTGCGTTTGAAATGTTTGGTCTTGCACTGACAATTCTCGCGAATTTCAAGGCACTTCCGCAGATTGGAATCTCACTTTTGTTTTGTGCCCAAGACGATTCAAGTGGCCCAGCCTGCAAGTCGTCGCTGGTTGCGATTGCAGCCATGTGGTAGAGGTTCAACCTAAGTCTCGGCAGAGCCGAGACAGCAAATCGCCAGGGAGGGGTCGGGTGTTTATCCACAATATGGCAAACGTACAAGGTTGTACAACGGGGTATTTACATACCCAAGCTTTCCCACGTTCCCCCTTATCCACACAATATATCGAGGCTGCATTGAAGCTGCCCCTTGGTGCAAACGCCCACCAGGGCAGCTCAAATGGACTTTCAAGCAGGAATTCCCAGCGACTTCTGGTGGCATGTTGCGCCTGAGAACGGGGAGTCCCCAACCGCGGATCAACATAGCATAGCCCATGTGCCACCTGTGCACCTGCTTGCGTCGCCTTCCAACCTTGTTTTTTCTTCTCCGGTGCTTCGCCCGAAAGCGTTGTGACTAGGTCCTCCAGTAGAGAGGTTAGAATAAGGGTACCGTTTTGCTGTAGTCTGTTTTAGTAGGGGAAGCCTCCCCAAAAAAGTGGAGAGAAGGACACTACTGGGGGACTTAGGTGAGCAACTGCAGTGGCTGAGCTTCAAGGCAGCGTTGGGTGCAGGTCCTCCCTGCAGACCTTCGAAATGCCGTCGATCAAGGCCTACCGCAGAAGGAACCATCGCCGAGAAGACGATTGGAAGTTAAAGTAACTACAAGCCTCGGCGACATCTCTATATATATAATACATATATATATATGTATGTGTATATATATATATATATATATATATCATTCTCATTCTATTTCATTCGCCAACACTCACATGTTCACGGGAGCAAGGTCAAAAGCCGGCGAACATCCGGAACAAACTAACCCCGCGGAATCCCAAAGAAACCTGAACTGGGAGTTGTCTGCGAAGCTCAAAGATGTCAGCTCAGAACTGTTTGGTCCAGGATGCTGGTCTGTGCTCAGTGATCAAACGCCAGCCACCCATCATTTCTGCAACCGGCACAGGGAATGTTGAGAACATCAAGGGCCGCTTTTGGGATTGGTGTCCTTTTGGAGTGCTCTTTTGTGCCTTTGATGTGGGTCTGGGTCAAAACCCCTTCCCCCCAGTGAACATCCCAATCCAACCACTAAAATAGGTAACCTAACATGGGTGGTGAATGCACCTACCAACCAAAATGGTATCCCATTAAATTTGACCACCACAGCCATGTCACAAACCAACAGTTTCTGGAAGTCCACCACGCGCTGGTCATCCTGAGCTTCTCTCAAAGCGCGCCGGTGCTGTACAGGGCGCAGTTTGATAGGGCCTTGAACGGAAGGAAGCCTGGCTCCTCCAAACTCGGCTTGGTTTGGGCAAATTGTGTTTGGTGGTAAATGGGAAACCACTCCTTCACCAATCAACCACCAATCCAGACCACCAATCAGTGGGAAGCTGATTGGTATGTTTGGGCGTTCCTTTAGATCCAAGAATAACAGGGCCATCCCACATTTTCAAGGTCCTCCACCTGCATTTCGCCGCCCGGCTGTACAAGCTGCGCTGCAGTAATCCACCGTACACGTCAGGCAAGACACCTCAGGCGAGATGCTAGGAATCTCAGGTGCGATTTGAACACGTGTTCAAAACTACTGCGAGGGTTGTCCACGCCGGCACATTCTCAGTTAAAATTGAAGAGAACATTGAAACCCCTTCTCTGTGGACCAGCTTGTAGCCCAACCATTCAACCGCCTGGAAACAAATCACTCCTGGGGCCCGTGCGCTTCTCGCCTGCGCAAACTGGTTGCGAAATCTGAGCCCAAGACCGTCCGTTGACCCCGCAATTCCCAAGGGACCTTCATTGAGGAGAGGAGGGGAAGGGAGCCCAAATTAGGCTCTATTCCCTTCTTGTTGAGCAAGACTCCCTCCCCTCCCCCTGGCCTTTTGCCTGATTTCTCGTAAAAGAAAGCACCTCAGAGGCGACTCGTGAACCAACTGACACATAGAGCAAGTGCCTCTCGAGGCTTTTGCACTGGGGCCAAAATCCACTGGGTGTTAAGCGCAACGCGCGCGTTCAGGGAGGGGACACCCCCAACATGGTGGTGTCCCTTTTGGTTCCTTAAAACCACCAACAGAGGTAACCTCCCCAAAAGAAGACAGTTAGAAGCGCGTTCTAAGAGGGCGGTTTCGTCATGCGCAAAGCGTGGAGCTCTTAACATGTGAACCCTGCTCACAAAGGCGAAGAGATACAATGGCGAGCTCAAAATCAAACAAATCACTCGATTTTTTGGATGGCGCTGGCGCTGAGAAGCCCGAACACTATCTTCCTCACAAGTGGCGAACTTCCGGCTTAGCAGAGAGCGCCAGAACTCGCCTCGCTCCCACATTGCCATGGGCATGGGCATGCCATGGGCACCTGACAAGGGGAATTTCTCGGTGCCCTCCTGCAGGCGAGCAAAATGGGAGGAGTCGAGGACCAAGAAGAAGCAAATGGGTGGAGCTCAAAATGAAACAGCAGGGGCAAACCGCAGGTTTTGGTTGTTTCCACTTACCAGGGCAAGCCAGTCTGGAATTCCGGAACTTTTTTGAGCCACACCCAAATGACTTCATTGCTGCGGCTTCCCGGGGTCTCGCACCGCTGTACAGGTGGACCCTTGGCTAGCCATCCTGCACACAAAGCTAGGCCCGTTTCCAATCCCAAACCTCTGTTTGATGTTGCTTGTTCTCCAACACATGTGGGATATGTTCAGGAAAAAAAAGGTCTTCCGGAGATAAGATTTCAAAGCGCTCAAAGCGACTGGCTCTGTACCTCACTCAGCCTGTCTGACAGAGCCGAGTGAGCAATTGCCCATCGGACCCATGACCAGATCTCATAAAAGCACCACATCACCGCACAACTCTCATGAAGATTGCGGGTGCTTAGTCCTTGGCAACAAGGAGTCAAGAACTTTCAAGGCGGCTTCCTCCTTTTCGACACTGAAGCCTTTTCGAAATCGGTGGTCCCCCACAGTGATCACAATGCCCAAGTGCCGCTGCCGGAACTCTCGCCCAAAGTCTAGCGCCCACCAAACATTGTTGAACGCCATACCCCAGGACTTCTTGTCCTTCCAGGTAAATCCGAGATCTCGGTCGGTGGCAAAGCTCACAGTGCCGGATTCGGAAGGGAGGTCAACCCGCGTGTCCTGGCCAAAGGGGAAGTAGTAAGTCTTGATGCTCAAGTGGTCCGCGTAGATCTCCACAAACTGGTCTTGGTAGAGAGGCGCGGGAGTTGCTTCTGATGCCATGGCTGCCAAGAACAATCACTAGCGACAGCAACTGCAGATCTTCCAGGTTTGCTTTTGAGCCAGAAGGACTTCTAGCGAGCCACTCATATTCGTATACCTCAGTAGCTCCCGAATCAACTCAGACAACTTGCCAACTGACTTGCTGGGCAGATGGCTGGCTGGCCAACTGGCACAGTCCTCTGACGTTTGTTTGGTGGGTTCATTTTGCTCCCAACAACCATGGAGTATACATGAAAATTCACTGGCGCCCGCTTTATGCGAGTTGAGGGGCCTACTTTCTCTGCAGGGCCACCTGTCACGTGCCGATTGCAGGTTTCGAAGATCATCCCCCTCAAAATGGGTGAAAGTGAAAAACACATTGTTCCACACGTCTGCTGGATCGGGGAACGAAGGCCTCGTTTGCCGATGCATTCCAGCCTTTGTCTGCCAAAAAATATTGTGGATAATTCATGTGCAGGCCAGTATTGATGAGTTGCTCTGCACGCAAATTTCAACGCTGAATTGGCGGGTGGATTGGGGAATTGAATCATCCCTGATGTCTAAGCCACCAAACCAAACCAAACCACCAGCTACGGGTAAGATGAAGTGACATGCTCATTCCCTTTGCACTATTTGGGGTTCATTTCAGCTGATGAAAGGACATCAGGTGTGGATTCATGTCCACCAACCACTTCGGAGGTGGTTTCCTATCAAAAATCATAGCCACTCTCAGGTCCTGTAGACAATCTGCAATGGATACCCTCAAGACATAAAATGCTGGAGATGCCTTTAAGAACGCACGAGGTTTGGGTTAGCGTCGGATCTTTGAACACGGTTGGGCCATCTGGTCAAACATTTGTTAATTTCCTATTGTTTATTTGTTAAGCAACTTCTCGGGTTTCCCTTCAAAGCTGACTAGAGGTCGGGTTGTTTAAGCAACTTCTTGGTTTTCCGTTCAAAGCTCACTAGAGGTTGACATATTTGGTTTCCCTTCAAAGCCGACTCGCGGATGGTTGTTTTAAAACATATGGCCATGGGTGAAAATCCCGTACCCCCAGTGAACATCCCAATCCCCACTAAAATAGGTTCTAAAATGGGTGGTGCACCTACCAAAATGGGATCCCATTGGTTTTGACAACCACAGCCATATTTCTTGCCCAACCCTCACGGACCTTCTTTGCACTCGCCTGGAAGCCTCCAGTGCTGCATGTAGCGCCGCATCCTCGTCCGCCAAGGAACCTCCTCGCTGGAACTCTTTTTCGGACGGTAACGGTGTTTTTTCTTTCTTTTTTTTTACTAGGGCTGGCTTTTTCCTAGGGCTGGTTTTCCGCAGGGCTGGCAACATCCCCAGCATCACCAGCATCACTGGGCCCTGGGGTTGCCTATTGGCTCTGATTGTGTGGCAGTTGGGACTTGCTGGGGGCTGGTTTAAGTTAGGGGGGGTTTGGCTGGCTTAGATCTTCATAAGGCGGGTCTTGCAGTGGTTTGGGGTTGATGTAGGCGAAGCAAAGGGCTGATATCCAGGCTGCTGTTGGGCGGGTTTAGGGTAGCCAAACCAACCAACCAACCAACCAACCAACCAACCAACCAACCAACCAACCAACCAACCAACCAACCAACCAACCAACCAACCAACCAACCAACCAACCAACCAACCAACCAACCAACCAACCAACCCTAGGGGGAAAAAGAAAAACAAAAAACTGATCCTTGTTCGGACCCCAAAACATAACCGCATACCGTCCCTAAGAAAACTGGACTGCCCTCACATCTCGCGCTAAAAGTTTAACCTCTAGTGGGCTAAATGGAAACTACCACTAAACACTAAAAGGCTAAAAGCTAAGGGGATGGCTGGGAGCCACCAAGAACCAAGAAGTACCCGAGGAGGAGTATCAAGGTGCACAGTATGCTCCCTCAATTGCCATCTTTCAAAAAACAACATGGATTTGGCAAGGCTGTTAAAGACACGCCCCCCCCCCCCCATTTTTCTTGTCGTCCTTGGCTTGTTGTGGCATGGTCCAAGCCCCTTGACACAAGACCGAAATGTCGATTCGATGTCGATTCGAGGCCAATGGTTTGGTGGACTTTGACACAGCCCTTCTTTTTTTGTGTGGGGAATGGCAGCCCTTTAAAGACATCCCTCTTCAAAACTCCCATTCCTATCAACGACTTCGGTTTCTGTTGGCTTTGAGACAGCCCTCCCCCAAAAAAAAGAAACGGAAGGGGGAGGGGGTTCACGAATGTTTCTGAGCATGACTCGAGCTGGTGTTCACCTCGCGCACGCTCTTCGAATTTCTTCGCCGGCAAAATCCAAAAGCTGGGTTTTTTCCCCCTCAACGGATGCTCTTTGGACAGTACTTGTCACGTGGAACATAGGTGACCTCAAAAATATGGGGTAAAACCCGTTGGCACCGCATGCCAACGCTTTTTCGGGGCTCTTCATCCGGATGGACCGATCCGATTCGCACCGCTCCGGCTGCATCTCTCGTATCCGGCGCTGCCTCTCCAGCTCCGCGGACTCCCTCGAGAGCCTCCGGAACTCAGCGCTATGGGTCTGACTATGGCTGCGGCTCAAAAAAGGTGGTAAGACCTGAGTTCATGGACTTGGCTGTGGGTTAAAAACATGTCATCAAAGTGGCACCTTAAATGGACAGACTCAACCGGCGGAACCCCAGCCCTTTTTCTTTTTGAGCCATACTCATCTTTACCACTCTACTAAATTCACAAAGATCCCGATCCTAGCAACGGATCGGGTCTTGGTTGAGAACTCTTTAAGCTGGGGAGCCACCCAGATTTGGGAAAGTGGGCAACACTGGATATTTCTCAAGAAATCCGCCAGGGATGATCGTGGGATGCCCGAGCGCAAATTTGATCTGGTAAGCTGGTCAACACTTGTGCAGCCATGATCATCTTCGTCCTATTGGCCTGGAATGGCAACCGCATCTATCATATCCTCGTTGATGCATCGCTGTCCGCCAACTAGCTGCTTCCAGGGGGCCCTTGACGTGCAAAAAAAAGACCAGACAGCCGGTGGCCATGAAAATAGAGGCCAACATACTCTGGGCCAGACATGTTCACCCCCAGCAGGCAAGCTAAGTCTGGACATATATTTCGAACCAAGCTTGGCCTAAAGAAGATGCGAAACACTTCGGTAGCCATGGAGCATCCAGGACCATCCGACCACACTTTGGTTGCGAAATAAGCCAATTGGCGGGGAACCTCAAGATGATATGGTTTCCTTCTGGCTTCCTGAACAATACACTCACACCTTCTCGGCGTTCACGCCAGGGCTTGAAAGGAATGTAGCGTTTTGATTCTTCGTGAGGCCTGAAGCCGCCGTGGTTCCTTTGATTCGACGAATAAACTCTGACAGAAACAGAAGGCGGAAGGCTGTGCCGAAACCGGGAAAGGCCGAATCAGGAATCTCAATCCTCCCTTGGGGCAAGTTGCTGATTCGCCGGTGACGGCTGTGGGTGATAATTCAGATAGCAACGTTGTTGCCGGAAGCGCCAGCAACTCAACGCCCCTGCTTCAAAGAGATTCCAATTTCAGCTAGAAGTTGAGCTTTTTTTAGCCAAATCAGCCAGCTGAGCTTAAGCTTAGAGAACATCCCCCTGCGAAAGAAGCTTCTCCCAGGGCTTCATCCCTGCCAAGTGCGAAGTGGAGTCTGACCAGCAAGTGCCCGGAGCGGAGCCTGATGGCTTCCTGCTCCGCGCCCCCTGGCAAGCTGCCCATCCAGGCGGGGGGAAACCACGGGAAGCCACAGGAAACTTGTTGAGAGCAAGGGGATGGGGGACCCAATGACTGAAAGGTTTCTTGAGGAAGACAAAGGGCTCACGGGTCTTCCCACCTTGACCAGGATTTCATGTTTTTCTCTTGACCATGCTTTGAGGTATGTTGAAACAAATCTTGAACTTGTTTTTGCTTGCCACTTCTGATGGACCCCGCATTGTACATCAAGGGATCTGCACCTTCTCACCTCAGACCTGCCTGGCGCCGGCCGGGCACCGATGGAAGAGAAGCTGAAGCTCGAGCCGCTGAAGAACTCGCGGAAGAGGTCGAGTCACGGCCGAAAGTCAGGGCCTGGGGGCTGGATGAAATCTATGCCTCTTTTTACCAAGTGGGCAGAGCCCCATCTAAGCCGTTTGATACCAAGTGGGCCGATTCCCATCCTTTGGGTGGTGGTTGGGTTGGGGTGTTAATCACAGTGGCAGGGGCGTGGATCACGAGTTGGAGCGGGGCGGGGGATGGTGCAGTCGGACGGGCGTGGGTGTCATTTGGCTGTGGTACCCAAAATGGAACCCTGGTAAATGAAACCAAGGACTAAAACCTGTGGTCCCCTGGTGGTGAATCTTTTTGACCCACACTCATTTGTTGCCAAGGCCGGGCCAGGTACCGCCCTCTACTGCACTCAGGTGCCGGCGCCCTGAGAGAAAGGGATCGAAGCCGAAACCTTCGCCAGCTGTGCTGCGAGTCTCCGTGTACCTGATTGGAAACCCCGCATGCGACCCCTCGGATTTGGGGCCAACACGGGCCAACTGATAGGTCAATGCTTGTATGTTGGGCATCTCACAGCATGCGACATCGGATGTTAACTGGGTTGATGAACCAACAGTCCGAACTTGCTCTTCCCCCCACAAGACCTACCCACAACAAGTCCTGAGTTTCGCACTGGAACAGGGGTCCTCAATTGTCACGAGAAACATCGCCCACAAACAAAAGACTGATCTTCGAATTGCCAAAAAGGCTGATGCCCAAATCAGGGACGCGGAAGGACCCTGGAATCAACAAACTCGTGCGCCCTTCCAGCCTTCAAGCGTGACGTGCTTCTGGCATGAAGCGCACATTTCACAATGCCCCCGCAAACACAAGCAAAATCATCGCAAAGACGTGTCCTTGCGGAGTTGCGCTCACCCAGGTTCCATTACTTTGGGGTGGCAGGAGATATTATGCTGACATAGCTATCTTTGATTACGAGAACTGCAACACAGGACACGTTTCACCGCCCTTTGTTAAATGGCCTCAGGCCTCATTCCCGGTCCAAAGAGGGTTTCCCACTCGCAAATGACTGAGAAGCTAAGGTGCAACACCTCGCGAGTATGGT